GGTGGTTGAGGAGGAGACATTGTCAACGTACAGCTGGCCATGGGTCATTTAGTCCCACAAGCGACAGTGGAATAACAACTATGATGCCCATGGCCGATATCACAATTATAATTACAATTATACTTACTATTCCTACACCAACTCCAATACTACCCCAACTAATAACCATAGTACTTATCCTAATGATAAAAAAAATAATGATAATCGGAGCCCCTCATATCTCTCGTCGCGAGACCAATTCCTATCCTTCGACTACGACGACTTGTATACTACGGGAGATGAGAGTGGATATGATGACGAAGACGATGATGATGAGGCGGATGGCAAGGCTATGAACTTCGGCTTCATCGGCAAGGTTGTTGATACGGTGAATACGGCGAGGGATATTGCTCATGTTATTTGGAATGTTGGATGGCGGAGTTAAAGAAGAGAAAACAAAAGTGAAAAAATGAAAATAATAGAAAAAAAAATGATGAGGGAGAGGGGGAAAGAGGAGGTGATGCATATTTTCTAGATCTAGAGCGCAGAGGGTGGTTTTCTTCATTCTTGCTCCAGGGATACTTGCTGTATTTCATTTACTATTTTCCCTTTGCCTTTTTTTTGTTGCTTTTTCCCCTCCAAAATGAAAAGAGAAAACAAAAGGTCCCTGGAACAAAATAGGCCTTACTGAGGGCTTATAGATAGTGATTTCAGACTAACTACATATAAATACATAACAAATACAGTGTCCAGCCATTCTTTTCCACTTTCTCTTGCCTCATTTTCCTTTTTAATTTTAATGCTTTTCTTTTCTTTTCTTTTCTTTCTTTCCTTTGTGTGTGTGTGTGTGTAATTTATATCAACTCCACAAAACCATGTACCCTTTTCTCCTTTTTTTTACAAGAACTTACCAACCATTCCCTGAGTTAGATAAACCAATTATTTCGTAACGCACAGTCACCGGATAGATTGATAACCTTCAGTCAGCTAAAAATAAGTGGGGTTGCCGGCCATTGCTCACAACATATCAATCTCCTTGATTTTTATTACAGTTGAGCCCAGAATTTGGATTTGATCTTGCTTTGGGAAAGCTGGAGGAAACAATCGAGGGACTTTTTTCAAATTTTATTCTGTAATTTTTTTGTTGAATTGCCTTGTAGCTTTTGTGATAAAACCCTAGGGTTATGTCTATAATCACGTGACTATCTGATTCTTCGGACCAGAGATTCAAACCTCTCTTGACAACAACCGACTCAAGCCCGCTCGGCCCAATCTCACCATTGGCTTTTTCTTTTTGCGATTGCGGGTTACCGGGGATGGGGGTTTCCTGATATTCATCCTGTTATGACGCCAGTTTGTTTCTCTGTCTCTCATTTTTACGAATTTTCATATCATTCATGCCGGAGCCCCTTTCCAGGGGCATATTATGCACCGGCACCAGCTACGTTGGCGAGATATTTCCCTACCTGCCGACTTTGGGATTGACGTGAACTTGGAGAAATATTTAGAAAAAAAAAGAAGAAAAAAAGGAACAAGGCCTACACAAGCATTTCTGACCGCACTACGGAGCCAATTGATTGTTCTCTCGCTTTTTCAAATTCCCCTGCTTGCGAGCTAGAATACATATGTCCACAACTGCCGTCGCATCCGAACCTGTCTACTAGCAACTACTCCTCCCCGAAAACACGTCCGCATTACTACAAAACAACCATGGAGGGTGTCAACGTCTCCGAGCTCGTCGAGCGGCTGGGCAGCGACGAGGACGCAGTGCGCAAAATGGCCGTTTTCAAGCTCCAATCGAACATCGGCGACCCGTCGTTCGCTGACGTGTTCATATCGGAAGGCGGGTTGGCGAAGTTGAAGTACCTGGCGTTGACGGCTACAGGGAATACGCTTGCATACAGCCTGGCGTCGTTTTCGCGGTTGCTGGAAGTTGATAAGGGGTGGGAGTGTGTGGAACAAGATCTCGTTACGAGGGTCAGTATTTTGGGGGTTCCTGATTTTCACAACTTTTTTCTTTTTCTTTTCTTTCCTTTTTTTACTCGTTTTAACTAGATCGGAATCTTTTGACAATTTGGCTAACGAGCAATGGTGTGTTATTGTGGTGCTTCTGTAGATTGTTGAGCTTATCGTTACCCATCCGCTTGTGAATATCCTTCGTGGCGCGATGTCGATCTTAGTATCCATCGTTTCTCATCCACATTCGAGCCAGCATCGCTCGCAAGAACCAGGCGTTTTTGGGTTCCAAGCGCTGAAACCTGCAATTGCGGTCTACCCACATTTTCTGGAAATGCTTGTCAGCAGGCTATCATCCGCAGACCATGCGCTATGTGCCAATGCGCTGCAGTTAATTAATTCATTGATGAGGGACTCGATCATCAACGAGAGTGAGGCGGAGTGGCCCAAGTTTATAAAACGGTTACAGGATCTAGGTGTCATTCGAGCGGTGTATGTGTTGATGCAAGGCACGGCACTGCAGGACCTGGCTCACCCGCTCCTTGAGTTTCAATCATCGACAAAAGTCCTCTTGCGAAAGTGGAAGGATGTCCCTGTTGAATTAGAGAAACCGGAGCATCGGAGGGCGTTAAAAGGGATTCATCTGGCTAGCAAAACTGAGAAGGAGAGGGAGAAGGACAAGGACAGGGCAGCATCGGAGAAAGGGGATGACACGCAGCGATCTCGAAGACATAACCCGGAGAAGTGGAGGCGGCTTGGTTTTGAATCGGAAAGCCCCCAGTGGGAGTTTGAAGAGATGGGGTTCCTGGGTATGATGGATTTGACGGACTATGTGAGGAAGCATCAGGATGAATTCCAGAAAATGCTTTTGGAGCAATCTGCGAAACCGCCGCCTCAGCGATGTCCAATTGCAAGAGCGTCCCTGGCTATCACTTCAGTCCTCTATGAGCATTTCGAGGTTGAGAAGTCGGATCTGGACGATGTGAAGAGTTATCTTGTACTTGAGTCAAGGTCGAATTATGATAAATTATTCAAACCGCTTCTTCTCCACTGGCCTAGATTACATGTCGCGGGGGTGCACGCGTTTTTCCGTCTATGGAAAGCTACCGGCGCTGAACTGGAGGACTTTTCTAAAATTGTGGAACTGGTTCGAATCCTTATCGAATCTGTCATCGGCGGCGCCGCGCGGACAAAGGATGTGCACGATGTTGAGGAGGAGATGGCGGAGTTCGAATACCAACGGCTTAGAGAGTTGCAGATGGAATTGCTAGAGCTAACTTACGAAGATGCATGGGGTCAACATCTACTCCAGGTCCGTGATGAGCTCCATCACGAAGCGCTACAGTTTGTGAAAGAGCAGCGCATCAGATGTTTGTTAGAGGGGGCGTGGTTTCCGACGGAGAACGCTCATAGTAACGTGGAAAATGGGGTGAATAACAATGGGAAGCAAGATGCGAAACGTGTAGGGGCTCCGACGACTATATATCGCTATGTGCAGTTATCGCATAATCGACGGTACCTGCATTATGCCGACTTTGTGTCGATGGGACAGCAGGCGCCTGATTTAGAGACACTCACGGATAAAAGTACGCAAACTTTGCTTGTCCGCTTTCTGATAAGCCTACTAAGAACTATAATTTAGTTGACCTTAACATCGTCTCCTCCGTCGTGTCCAATGTTTCCGCCTCTTCCGACGCGTCCTCCGGCTCTACCATAAAAACCCTTCCCCACCCATCCTCTTCCACCAAAATCAGCATCCACGGCTACGTCAGTCAACCTCCGGGCTCTTCCTCCAACGACAGTCCCCAAAAGCACCAGCATCAACGCAGCAACAGCAAGAACACACAAAAGGAAGCCGTCCTTCTAACGCTGCACCCGCAATCCCATAGCATCGCATCCGAGTGGTTGGATGGACTACTAATGCTGCTCAATCAGCAGCCCATCACTGCAGAGACGAATAAATTGATTAACCTAGTTAGTAATTATGGGCTGAAAATTCGGCTGTTGAATATCAGGTTTGATGATGGGACGTTCGTAGGAGATCCGCCTCAGATTCCAAGTCGAGACGGGCTGGATGAGGATTATTATTATGACATGTTTGGGGGGAGTTGAGAGCTTAAGTGGGTGCGGTCAGATTTCCATTTTCTGCCTTTCAAGTCCATTTTGTTTCTTTCATTTCTCCCCCCCCTTTTTCATTTCCATCTTCTTTCTCTGGAGGTTTTCTTGAACGCAGGCTCGTAGTTTGAGCAGGGGATCTTCTGATTTGAGAGAAATATGTGTCTGGTTTTTTATTTATTTGTCCCTTGTTGGAGTTTGAAAACCGGTTGGCCTATTTTTCCATTTCCCGTTAACTCGCGCGTCCGAGGGCCATGCGATTTCGTTTTTCAATTTCGGTTCGTGTACAATTTCTTTGCTTTTTTCCTCCAGGTTTGCCCTTTCTTGTAGATAGATACCTGCCCTTCCCTCCCACCATGTTTGATTATCATGAGAGGTTCAAGTTGTTTTTGAATTGTCTTTTGAGGAACACCTCATATTAGTATCCATGAATAGAGATTCTTTTTGTTAAATACCCCCTTGATAACTGATTATACGGACACCCCATATTTTCCATGTATAAATAAATGTTCATCTCATTTGTTGCATGATAAAGCAGTTCATTGACCAATAAAAAAGTCACGTTACCGCAGAGCGCTCTAGCCCAAGAATTTGACAGGTTCAACTTCACTATGTGTTTTCACGCGTAACCACACGCCGGCGTTCCTACGGATAAATAAGGCGTATACCTCGTTTTAAAACTACTTTGCCAAAACCAACCATGACCTCTGAGCCCAATTGGCACGAGCCCACTGCCACCTCTCTCTCACGCCCCTCCCATGTCCGCTCCACGAACCGCAAAACGGCAGCGGAGGCTTGTCGTCCTCTCCTCGGACGACGAGAAGGTTAACAATGGCACTCAAAATCATGAGAATGTAAAGAAAGATGAGGAAGGGGAAGACGATGACTATGTTGAGTCTGGACGGAGGAGAAATTTTCAATTGAAAGAAAGAATTAACCGAGGTGTGAAGAGGAAGATTACACCAGTGCCGAAAGGAAAAGTTGCGTGCCCATCGAGGACGGAAGCGTCTACGACCATTCCTGCGGTTGCTGTTGCTCCCAAACTGATAACAAATACGCTTCCTACATGCTTGCTGCAGAAGCAGACACAGAAGTGCACCCAGAAACCGTCCAGTTCACAGCAAAAGCGACCGGGCCAGCCACGCTCCTTACAGACGACTCACGGCTCATCTCCTGAGAAGAAGAGGGGGAAAAACCCCCACAATCGCCCGGAGGAACCTTCAAAATCGTTGCATTCATTTTTTGCTAGGGCCACGGAGGAGGAGAGGTGGAGTAGGAAGAAGGACAGCGATGGCCTTGGTGCAGGAGTGGAGAGCAGTGTCACCGAGGAAACAGATCTTGTGGAAGAAATTGAGGACGATGACAAGGAGGAAGAGATAGTGGATTTCATTGAGGATGATTCATATGAGGAGTTATTTGCAAGTCATATTTTCAGCAGTGGGGGCGGGAACCGGGTGCAAGGGGGTAACAAGACAGGCTTGCACCTGGATCGGAGGAAAGCGAATGATATCAAGGGTCGACAGCACATAGATACAACGAATTCTACGAGCGGGCTTGGGAGGCGATTTCTGCTTCCTGGTGGGACTGCAACTGCTGAGCCAAGCCGGGCCCGCGACTCTCCTTCGCCCACTCAATTGTTCACGAGGGGGATACGCCCATGGGCGGAAGAATATGCGCCAACCAATCTCGATGAGCTGGTGGTTAATAAAAGAAAGGTTTCAGATGTGCAGAAGTGGTTGGTTGATGTGTTTAGTGCGAAAAGCAAACGAGTTGAGTGCTATTATATCTTTCCCCTTCGTATCCTTATCTTTGCAGGGCGTTGCTTTCGTCGACTGTTGCTATCAATTATGCTGACGGCCCCAGAGAGTTCTTGTTCTCAGGGGCCCAGCTGGCAGCGGGAAATCAAGCACGATATCGCTACTTTCCAACACCATTGGGTTCGAGATAGTTGAGTGGAGGAGCCCATCGGGCTCAGAATTTTCGTCTCAAGGATATGTATCTATGGGAGCCCAATTCGAAGATTTCCTTGGAAGAGGTGATAAGTTTGGAAGCCTTTTTTTGAGTGACGGCGGGCAAGAGCCGTCGCAGTCGGCAACACATGGAAATGCGGAACCTCTCAATACTAGTACTATAGAAAAGAGACGTGTTATTCTTGTTGAGGAATTCCCAAGCTCCTTGAACCAGAGCTCATCCGGCTTGCGGGCGTTCAGACTTGCTTTGCAGAGTTACTTGGTGACAGCGACTCCTCGGCAACCGTTCGACAACCAATTCATTCGAGACACTAATATATCAAGCCCCCCTCTCATTATGATCGTTTCGGAAACTATGCTGGGCTGGGGAGGTATTTCCTCTGACAGCTTTACGGTACATAGATTGCTCGGCCCTGAAATTTCGAGCCATCCTAGCGTGAGTATAATCGATTTTAACAGGGTAGCGCCAACCTTCATGGCCAAAGCTATCGACCTGGTTCTGAAAAAGGAAGCTCGTCGATCGAAGAGAAAGAGAGTTCCGGGACCCGAGGTTTTAAAGGCATTCGCGCAAATGGGAGACATAAGGAGCGCGATTTCTGCGTTGGAGTTTATGTGTTTGCGAGGTGAAGAGAATACAAATTGGAGTGGAACTGTAGCTGGTCGCATGAAAAGGTCTAGTAAAGGTGGCATACCTCTTACGTCAATGGAAAAAGAGTCACTAGAAACGGTTACTAAAAGGGAGGCTAGCCTGGGTATATTCCATGCGGTGGGTAAGGTGGTGTATAATAAACGTGAAGATCCTACGATTTCGCACGGACTCAACCCTCAGCTGCCCCAACCTCCACGACATCTTCAACCTTATGCGCGACCCAAGGCTTCCCTAGTCTCAATCGATGATTTAATCGATGAGACAGGAACAGATCTCCAAACATTTATTGCAGCGCTACATGAAAACTACTTACTCTCTTGCACTGGCCCAGCTTTTGCGGACCATTTTGAGAAGTGCATTTCGTACTTATCAGAAACGGACATTTTGGGGCCTAGCAGCCGATTTCACAACACGCAGACAAATCGAGGCGGAGTTGGTTTGGCGCGTTCCTCATATCAGGGTTTTAGTTCCAGCATCGACATGCTCCGCCAAAATGAAATTAGCTTTCAGGTAGCTGTACGGGGATTGTTGTTCTCTCTGCCTTTCCCTGTCAAAAGGAAGGCTCCAACAGGTATGCGAGCAGGCGACGCTCATAAGATGTTCTTCCCGACCTCGATGAGACTTTGGAGGCAAAACGAAGAACTGGATGGGCTGTTGGATTTGTGGATGCGTCGGCTCACAGATCCTACAATGGGCATATCCTCTGGAACAACTATTCCACGGCTGGACGGCGTGGAATCGTGGAAGAATCACCGCTGGGTGGATGGATCCGCTGAGGATACATCTGCGTACCCATCACATGCGGCTCGAGCAATGATCTCTCGTGAGGAAATTCTTCTGGAGCGCCTACCGTACTTGAGCTTGATTTCTCGAAACCCGCTGGAACGTAGGGAATTAGAAAAAATCACCCAATTCTGTGGGGTTGGTGGACCAAGTGAGGAAGAGTTTGTCGATGTTGGTATAGAAGATACCTCCTATGGTGGCGGTTCTGCGATGGACCCCTGGAGTGCACCTGCAGATAAGGATGTCTTTTCGCCGCAGAAACAGAGACCGGGGATCAAGCAGGGCCAGGTACCTGCGAGTAAGCCCTTTGCGCCCCAACTTGCAATTCCAGTTCAGGAAGCAGTTGAGAAGTTGGTGCTTAGTGACGATGATATAGAGGATGAGTGATCTGATTTGTCCTGATTCATGTAGTATCTTGCCTATGTTATTTTGTTAAATTTGGCGTGGGTTAATGGATTTGAGGGAATCTTGGGAGGATATATCCTGTTCATATTTCTTTTCCTTGGCGTCAGATTTTGAGAATAGGATTTGGGTATTTGACTGAAGGATAAAATATAATTTTGCTTGAGCCGGAGAGGCTCCGAGTATCTAACGCAATTATAATATGACCGTTGCCTAATACAAAAAAATATTTTAGATTTATTTTAACATTACAAGCACGATTCAGAAGGTCAAGGAATATATATTGATTGCACGCAATGATCTGGATGATGTGGGATACATTTATTTAGCTTCCCGCACCAAATATAATTCCGAATTGACCAACGCCCCTGGCTTGTACGCCCAAGGATCCAAACATCAAGGCCAACACAGCAAACTCCTCCAACAATGCCCTGACAGCTACATCATTCGTCCCGATTGTAACCCACGGGTAGGCTGAATTTGAAGGCTAGTTCATCGGTTTGGAATGTTCGTTGCCGCTCCCTCTTCTCCCCAGCGACTGCTGTGAACTCTGCACTTCATGCGCCGTAAGCATTGACTTACTTTAATCTTAAGCTATATAGGCCAATTAGCCGTGCGCGCGTGAAACTATACAAGGCGAGCTCATGGCCAACTCATTAAATGATCCTTCGAAGACGCAATTGCCGAAGGGCAATGCAACCGGCACTCGGGATTTAACTAACGGCAATGTCCCTCCGTCGCGCAGCAGCATGCTCAAAGATCCTGGAGATAAGCGACGTGAGGTTAAACAAGGAAAGCCTGAGGTCGAGGATACAACGGATAAGAGCCATGGCCTTACAGCAGCAGTTGTTCAGACGACTATCCCAGTGTGGCTGAATATTGGCATCATGGTGTCCTTGATATTTGGCGGGTGCTGTTCTAATGTAGTTGGGCGATTGTTGATATTCCCCGAAAATTTTCTTTTTCTTCTTGCAAGCCAGTACTAACAAAGGCGTTTGAGACAGGTATTTGCTCTAGAAGCTATCGTCAAGTGAGTTTTGCCTTCTGGACAGGCCTGATCGTTAAGCGATGATGGTTTGCTGACCCAATTGGCTTGATGCAGAGACTACCCAGAATCTGGTAAAGCCAGTCCTTCCTCCGACTTTCGACAGATTATATATGAAGAAAATTTTTCTAACAATTGCTACGCCTAGGGTTGCTGATAACATTTACTCAATTCGCTTTCGCTGCGTTCTTCACCCTTCCCAATGTCTTCTCATTCTCCGCCGGGCCCCGATCATTCTTCCTTGCGCCTCGGGAAGTCCCTCTAAGATCTTGGGTGATATATACCGCTTACTTCCTCTCTGTAAACGTCATCAACAACTTCGTCTTCTCATTCAGGATCTCAGTCCCGCTTCATATCATCTTCCGAAGCGGCGGCCCCGTGGCGTCGATGATAATCGGCCACTTATATAATTCTAAGACGTACACAAGAACTCAGATCCTGGCAGTAGTATTGCTTACAGCTGGGGTGGTATGTGCCGCGCTGGCGGACGCCAGTGCCAAGGGCAAATCTCTAGATATCGCGCTCAGTACGGGGAAGGATGACGGCCCTGCATTGCTGACCAGTTTAACTGGATTTGCGCTTCTTGGGCTTGCAATGGTCCTTGGTGCCTTTCAAGGTGTCTACGCGGACTGCTTGTTTAAAACTTATGGCAGCAAAAGCTGGCGCGAATCGCTTTTTTACGCCCATTTTCTCTCCCTCCCATTTTTCATTCCGTACTATTCAAAACTCATATCCCAGTTGAGAGTAATATTCGCCTCTCCGTCCGTCCTAACCTCTCTCTCTGCTACGTCCATGCTCGCAAACACCACATCCAGCGCCCTCACACAGCGCCCTTCTACAGCGGCAATTACGACTGTACCCTTTCTCTCCGCGGGAAATTTTCTAAGCCCTGCAGTTTCCTATTTTCGAACCCTACCCGAGCAGTCCCTAGTTTTCCGATTTCTTTGTCAAACGCCCATAAAAGTAGTATACCTAATACTTAACGGCCTAACGCAATATGTTTGCATTCGCGGAGTGCATCTTCTCTCTGCAAATTCATCTTCTTTGACAGTTACTGTGGTGCTTAACATTCGAAAACTAGTCTCGTTAATTCTGTCTGTATACGTATTCGGGAATGTACTTGTAAGTGGAGTATTAATAGGTGCGGTATTGGTGTTTGCTGGTGGGGGGTTGTATGGGTATGAAGGGGCAAGATTACGGCGGGAGATGAAAGCAAAGACAAAAAGACAGTGACAAGAGTCTGCCACTTTCTAACGTCTAACGCATGGCTATTTTTGGGACCCTTTTATTCTGTTTAGAATAGTTGTTTTGTTGCTTCGACTCGGTTTTCTTTTGGGATATGTCCCAGGCTACCACTATTAATCTACACACAGAGAATCCTTCTTATAAGTCAATCTAATGGATGATAATCTCTACCCGGCCCCAGTGTCTTGTGGATACAGAGAACTCTGGTGGGATATCAAATTATACTGCCTCAGTATTAAGGAATAATTTATGTTGTATTATATTCCTTTAATGCATCGGATGTAACAATCACGATAGTAAGGAAGCACTGGAATTCTCAGGCCCAAAACAATAAAATGAGAAACATCAACTCGCGCGACGAAAACAGGATCCAAGTTGAAATAACAATCCATCCCTGACAAATCACATACGGAGTGACAAAAAAAGTGCCTACGCATCCGTTTTGATGATATCGGCAGCCCGCTCAGCTACAGCATATACTGTCGCCATAAGATTGGCAGGTGGGATAACAGGAAAAATACTTGCATCACACACACGCAGATTGAGTGTTCCATGAACGACCAGATTCTCATTAACGACACCCCCCTGGTCCTCAGGGAGCATTGCAGCTGTTCCTGAGAAGTGATACGCCGATGTTACCGTGTCACGCAAATACTTCTTCGCCGATTCTACATCCGTGAGGAAGGAGTCGGAATGGTTTCGTCGTCCGTTTGGTTTTTTGAGATATTTGGTGAGTGCTTCATTTTCGTGCAAACGTTCTACATCAAGCAGATTTTGGGCCAGGATCTCGATATCCAGTGGATGGGAGAAATAACGGGGGTCAATTGTTTGCTTATCCTTAGGATTGGCAGAGGATATATGAGTATGGCCGCGAGAGAAGGGGATGCTCTGCATAACTCCTAAACTGAGATAGTTACCGGGGAGGAGTCGGGTCCCAACGAAGCAGCTTGTGTTAGCTTCGTGAAGGTTGGCTTGGGCGAGAAACATAAACATGTCACACGTAGGCGCGTTGTGTGTTTCGAAGATGTCGCGGACAGTGGATTGGAAGATAGATGCAGTGGGCAAGTACTTATCGAAAAACCGCGTCTGTGATTTCTGACCGTCGACACCTGCAAATTCAAGAATCGGCATCAAGGCACTTGACTGAACCCCCCCGATAGTCATTGGACCGGCTTTGTGTTCGGAATACATCTGCATAGCAGACTGAGTAGCTTCGGGTTCTTGTCGGAGAAGTGGATCTCCAGTAACTACGCCGTCGACAACCTCAAAGCTTATTCCGCTCATCAAGTGGTCTTGCAAATTTTCTCCAACGTTTGGGTTATCAACAATGACGGGAATATTATATTTCTGAAGGATTTTCTTGTTTCCTATTCCGGACAATTCCAGCAGTTTGGGGGTGTTCAATGCTCCGGCGGTAAGAATGACCTCTTTGTTTGCTCCGACGGTGACAAGCTGACCTTTAACGTCGACCTCGACACCAGTCGCGTACACATCTGGTTTGGAGCCTTCTATCAGCACTTTCTTGACGAAGGCATCCGTTAAAATATGTACTCCTGGGCGTTGCATCGCAGCAATGCCATATGTATTCGCAGCATAGCTCCTTGTTTTAGTTTGGGGATCAACAGCCGCAAGACTGCTAAACCCACCCGTTGAGGCTCCGGAATACGGGTCGGCGGTAACATCGTAGCCAATGCTCTTGAACAATTCCACCCATGCCTTCACAAGCGGGTTTTGAAGTTGCCCCGGAAACGAGACTTGGATGGGTCCCGAAGAACCGTGGGCAGAGGGCTCAACCCAGTTCAATCCCAGGTGCTCGCAAGTTTCGTCATCAGGGAGATTTAAGGTATACGACTTCTTGTAATACGGGTGGAGGTTTTTCCAAGTCCAACCCTCATTCCCTAGTTTGGACCATGCATCAATTACAAGCTCTGATGCTGAAACGAATGCCTGGCCGTTGATGCCAGAGGAACCACCCAGCATTTTGCCCTGAGCTGCGTTGTTGGTTCTGCCACCCAGTGTTACCTATTCTCTGGACTGTTAGTGGCCGTTCCAAGGAGCATCATCCCCCAGTACTCTGAGGGACGGTAGTTGATAGAAACACACCTGGGGGACTGTCGCGAACGCCCAATCGGCATCCGTCCCAAACAACGTAGTCCAGAGAGCAGGAACATTCACTCTGGGATCTTCAAGATGATTTGTTCCCGCCTCGAGAACGACCACGCTTGTGCCCGGGTCCTCTGACAGTCTTGCTGCCAGTACTAGGCCCGCAGTACCACCACCCACAATGACATAATCAGCTGCAGTAGGAATCTGCGTGGTTGACATGTTGAGCAAAAGCCTGAAAAGAAGCTGGACGGAGACGAAATCAAGTCGACAATTATGGAGTTAAATAATGGGAAAAGGGATTTCGACAGATACATCTAAGTACCCCGCTCGCCCAGCCTAGATATGGCTGTGGCGTTGTAGGCATATAATGTGAAACGAAAGCCGAAAACCATCGCGTATACAAAATGCCAATGCCGATGCCATGATTAAACGATCTGTTAAGTGAGTGAGTTACAGGCATGGGGTATATAGTTGAAAGGTGGTTAATAAAAAGTTGAACATGGTTAATATCTCGGACTGGAATAACCTTTGGTGTGGTTTTGACTACGGAGTATAAACCATTTGTCATTAAAACTACATGCGCTAGCCGTATCTCCCACACATCTCCCACACATCTCTAAATACTCTGAATGCTTCAGAGACAGTGATTTTATCATATTTTCAGAGCTCTATTCCTTAGCTAACCTGGATTCTAAGTTTCTAACTCTTAGTCAGTTACTAATTCTAGCCCATAACTACTTTTCAGATGTTGAAGAGCTCTGAATATTGAAGTAACTATGACAACTGATTAATATAATATACTGAGGATAGTTAACTACAGATTACAGTATGTAAAAGATGTTTAGTATAGAGATTTTAGTGAGGGAGTGAAGGGCTGAGCCATGGTTTATTTTTCAGACCCACTTTTTTTAAACCATGTTCAACTTTCAGGGCTGTTCAGTGACCCTGTCCAGGGCTGTATGAGTTTCTACAGTGTCAGCTATACAGCCTTATACAGCTCTGTACACGCTAATCTGGCTGAAAAAGATCTGTGTCAAGCTGACTTCAAAATCCACTTTATAGAGTTCAACGGTGTACTCAGTTGGAAAAGTGGATAATTTAAATCTATTCAAGTTAAGTCTGTACTGTATACGGAGTATGCTGGAATGAGTTATGATTTGAGCTGACTTGTTTGAAGTTTCAGTGCTGGCTGGTTTGGAACCTACAAATATCATCAAAAATCAAGAATCATGATGAGCAGCAGTGATAATGCAGTTCAGAAGACAATACAACAGTATCTATATTATAGACAACAATTAATTAGACTTACTTCTGCAGAAGTGATTTATCAGAGCATCTCAGCTGTCTCATCTAACACTCAATTCATTCATTTTTTACTGATATTTGATGTGAGAAAGTGATAATATAGTAGAATTAATAATCATCATCATAATAACTAGTTAGTTAGTGATAAGTAATAAAAGTAATGTCAAAACATCAAACAGGTTATTATTCATTATAGAGAAGGGTGATAATAATAAAGATTCGCGCTGTCAAAAGACAAATATCCACTTTCTATACGGCCCTGGCACTGTACAGACAAAATCACCGAACAGGCCCTAAATAAACCACGGTTCAACTGTAACCCGACCGGCATGGCTGATGCCTGAACTTTGATAAGCTGATTAACAATCTTGGACCCTTAAATTTAGACAAGTGCTGATGCTCAAACCTTATTGACCTTTCATCCAACATCAGATTACAATAAAGAAAGAAGAAAGTATGGATGGAAAATCTTAATGAAACCAACCTGCCAACCCTCTCCTTATCTTGGCCGTTGTGCAGACTCCGTTTTTCTCTTGGAAATATTCTGCCTCGGTCTCGCCAGGGGATCCATGTCGGTAGGGTGTGTTCAGTATACTCATGGGCTTTTTCTATATGTAATGCCTGCTGATAATCGATGATGCTGTGCTGTCTATTGGAACTGACTGGTTTGCCTCCCACTCATCCAGCCCAACGGGCTCATGCACCTGTGCCTGTGAGCGATTAACCCAAATCAAACAAAAAAGGCACTCGCCAAAGGGAGCAAAAAGAGGAATAAATGAGAATTGTTCCTAGTGAGACAAATGATGAGAAAAGACGAGAGAGATGGCGACACTTGTAGAGAAAGTAGAAAGGCTCAAAGATACAGAGGTACGAAAGAACAATCACGTGCAATATATGTATCAAATAAATAACCTAGGTAGTATTATTACCAGCCACAAAAAATAAAAAAGAGATAATATTTTACAAAACTTCTCCAACGATCCTCGCGGCTTCTTTATACGTGCCCAATAGTTTCTCGCACTTCTCGCGTTCTGCCTTGATCCCATCGTCCTCATACAGAAGCTCGGGAAACAAGTCCTCTTTATACAGTTCGCTGACGAGTCTGTTCTGGACCACTTCTTTGCTGTGGTTGACAAGAAGATGCATGATGGCTTTGGGCACCTGATCAGCAATGGTTTCGCGCACGATATTGAAGTAGGAGGAAATGAGACGGCGAATTAATTCCGTTTCGAGGGCTTCACGGTCTGTGAGTGCCGGTTCTAAGTTATCATTCTAGAGAGAGGGTTAATTTGATTCATTGTTTCTGAATTTTTAGCAAGGTGTCATGGGACATGACCTACTGGGAATGTGGGTTCGCCGTATTCCGAAGATACGGGATATTCAGTATTGTCCTGAGGGTATTGGGCGGGAGTCTGAGATTTTACTTCATTGCGTCGGAAGCTTTGGCTAAAACTGGGCTCTGTGGAATGATTGGCATGGCATGGTTGGGGAAGCTGCCCCTGACTTGTCGGAGAACCCTCTTTGCCAAAGAAGTAGTTGAGAAATGAATCTCTGGCGGTTCCAGCTGATTGAGTTCCATTACCATAGGAGGAAGTTTGAGGCCCATTTAACGTGGCTGTGGTGGCGGAATGGCCATTTTCCAGCGCATGACCAATGTGCGGTGATCTGCTTCTATTATGAGATTTCTGGCCGCGGATTGCCAGATTTTGTAACTTTTCATCGGCATCTTGTTCTTCTTCGCCATCTGGGGTTGCTGTTCCATTAACGGCCCCAAGTTCCTTCATCCGTCTTCGTTCTCGTTTCCGTCGATCTTCAGCCATAGCAGTTTTCCTCTCTTGTTCTTGTTTGTTCTGGATCACGGATGACATGGCAGAAGCTGCACCAAGGAAATTTGGATGGTTAGTATTAATATATGCGCGCTGAATAGAAATGAGTGATTCGACGTAGGCAGAGCAAGGGCCAAGTCGTTCTCTCAGAAGATCAGACACGACCTCAATGAGCTTGGCTTGCAGGCGGGGAAATCGGGACAGCTCAGTCGAACCGCAGGTATGGCATATTTTTATAAGTTCCTCGTAGACAAGTTCGACACATCTTTGGCTGGGGATTTCGAGAAGCTTGATTTGAGGTTTAACAAGCAAATCAAAGGCCATTTCAGGTACGAAAAGGCTAGGTCTAGGACCAGTAGAGTTGCGGATGGCTGTTCGGATATCGAGGGCGGAAAGGTTATGAGTTGGGTCAATTGTCTCCAGAGAGTTCCCGAAGACAGAATTGAAAATATAATAGATCCGCGCACCACCACAAAGCTCCTTTGTGGAAATCTCGGAAGAGGTTCCATCAATCGAGGAAATAAACGAAGATGCAAATCGGGTCATGAGCTGCAGGATCAGCGAACCTCGGTGTTCCTTGCCGTTGAATTGTTTGTTTCCGTAGCTTGCCAATTCTTGCTGCGTTTGGCCCATCAAAGTATTTAACCGAGCTTTTATATCAGGTAGCCTATCGCGAATATGTGACATCAATGTTGTGTTTAAGCTTTTTGCCAGGAACTGAGTCCCACAGCGAGTAGCAATATTTCGGTAGGCCGGATGGTGTCTGAAAAACTCCGCTTCGGCTGTTAGTGCCTCCGCCAACGACTTGCCACTTTGGATATCTTGTTGGGATCGATTGACCACTCCAATAAAGCCCAGCTTCAATGGATACACTCGCCCGGACAGGATATCCAAAGCGTTCGTGCCGTGGTCCATCAGATCCAGCTTCGTCAAGATCCCGATAGTCCTTCGGCCCATTGGGTCGACATGGCGAGCAAGTTTCAACGCCTCAGAGTTCACAAGGTCAACGTTCGCAGGAGAAACCGCCAAAATTATGCTATTAGGTTTCGCAATGTATTCCGAAATCAAATTGCGCGTCTGGTTTTCGATATCGGAGGGGCTGGTCACCGATGGGCACTTTGGTCAACCCGGGAAGATCTACCAGAGTCAAGTTGAGCACATGCGGCGAGAATATCTTCAAATTGATAGGCTG